ATGGTCTGAGATTTCAATACCTCTTGAGGTAAAAAAAGCACAAAGATTAGAAAGGATAGAGAAGGCTTCAAGGACATTATCGACTAACCTGACCTAGTTATCACTGATACAACAGTCAACCCAACAGCAGCAGAATCAACATTCTTTCCAAGTAGATACAGAACACTTACAAAGATAGACTATATTAGACATAAAACAAGTCTCAATAAATTTAAAAGAATTCAAGTCTTGTATTTTCTCTGACCACAGTAGGGTTAAAGTAGAAATCAACAACAGAAAGAGGTCTGGTAAATTCCTGAATCTGTGGTAACTAAATAATATAACACATAATATGATTTCAAAGAGATATCAAAAGAGATATTAGGCCGTATTTGAACACCATGAAAATAAAATGCAATATATCCAATGTGTGGGATGTAGCTAAAGGTAAAAGAAAATTTTATACTAAAATCCATTAGAAAAAAAATACATCTGAAATCAATGACTTCAGCTTCCATTTTAAGAACCTGGAAGAGCAAGATAAAAGCGAGCAGAAGGAAAAAAACAACAAAGATCAGAATAGAAAAAAAAAAAAACCAAACAGAAAACAATTTAAAAAAAAGTCAATGAAATTAAATTGGTTCTTCGAGGAGAGCAATAAAACTGACCAATCTCTAGCCAGGCTGATGAGGGAACAAAAAGAAAGCACAAGGTACCAATTTCAAGAATGACAGAGGGACCATCACTAGAGATACTACAGGTATCAAAAGACTAATAAAGAAACATTAGGAGCAACTTTATTCCAATAAATTTGACAACTTAGACAAAATGGACCAATTCTTAGAAAGACACAAATTAAAAGTTCATTCCACAAGTAAAGAAGCTGAATAGCACTATATCTGTTAAATAAATTGACTTAGTAGTTAAAAACTTCTCCACCAAGAAAACTCCAAGCCCAAATGGCTTCACTGATGAGTTTGAGCAAATATTTAAGGGAGAAATATGTATCAATTTTATATAAGGTCTTCTAAAAAAGTAGAGGAGGAAACGCTTCCCAATTCATGCTGTAAGGCCAGGACCATCCTGGGACCCAAACCAGACCAAGTCATTTTAAGGAAAACAGACAAAACTACAGGCCAATTGCCCTCATAAACAGAGATCTAGAAATTCTTATCAAAATTTTGTCAAAATGAATCCAATATATTAAAAGGTTAACACATCATGACTAAGTGTTGTTTATTCCAGGCATGCAAAAAGAAAATATATATATATTTATATATTTTCTACCATTCCCCCCTCTCTCCCCTTACCTCTGGTGGCAAAGATATTCTAACATTTAAAAATCAATTGTAATTCATCAGGAAATGAAAAAGAAACTAAAAAAGAAAAACCTTATAATCATCTCAGTAGATGCAGAGAGATTTGACAAAATCCAACATTCATTTCTGATAAAAAAAATATCAGGAAATTAGGAACAGAAGGGAACTTCTTCAGTTTCATAAAGGTCATGTATGGAAAGCCTACAGCTAACGTGTTTTCTCTCTGATCAGGAAAAACAAGGATATCTGCTCTTACAACTTCTATTCAGTACTTATTGGAGGTTCTAACCAGTTAATAAGGCAAGAAAAAAAACAAACAAAGTCTGGACTGGGAAGGAAGAAGTAAAACTGACTTTCACAAACATGACTGGATATAATCCCAGAAAGTGAGTGTGGCAAGGTTGTAGAATAAAAGATTAATAGGTAAAAGTCAATTATTTTTCTATACACTGGCAACAAAACATTGGAAATTGACCTTAAAAAAATCCCGTTTATAATATGAAATAATCGGTGATAATACTGACAAAAGATATGCAAGATCAGTACCCTGAAGCAAGATGACGCTGTAAGAAATTAAAGAACGCCTAAATAAATGGACAGGTGTACCAGGTTAATAGACTGGAGGACTACATTTTGAGATGTCTATTCTCCCGAAATTGATGTATAGATTAAACACAATCCCAATCAAATCCCCTGCAGAGTTTTTTTAAGACACTGAGAAACTGATTCTAAAATTTGTATGGACAAAGGACTTAGAATATTCAAAGCACTCTTGTAAAAGAAAAAAATTGCAGGATTTATACTATGTGATTTCAAGACTTACTACAAAGCTAAAGGAATCAAGACTGCCTGGTACTGGTATAAAAGATCTATCCGTTTTGTTAATCTTTTCAGAAAACTAACCTTTAGCTTTAATTTCCTCTATTGTCTGTGTGTTGATTTCTGCTTTTATCTTTATTATTTCCTTGCTTCTACCTTGGATTTACTTTGCTCTTTTTTATGCTAGCTTCTTAAACTGGAACTTTACATCACGGACTTGCAACATTTGTTCTCCAATATTAGCATTTCAAGCTATTAATCTCCTTTTAAGTTTGCTGTACTTTTATTACCATTGATTTTGAAATATTTTCCAATATTCTTTGCAATTTCTTTTTTGAATCATGATTTCAAAATGTGCTTTGTTTCTAAATGTTTGGGTTTAAACCTTTTTTATTGACTTCTAATTGAATTGCCTCTAGCCAGAGAACACAAATTGTACAACACTGATTATTTAAAATTTGGGACTTATAGGGCCGGCCGAGTGGTGCGATGGTTGAGAGCTCGCTTGGGATGCCAGAGGGCCCCGGTTCGGATCCCACATGTGAGGGCCAGTGACACTGCCCTCCACAGCTAAGATGCTGAACGACAGCTCAACCTGGGGCTGGGCTGTCATGAGTCGCCGGCGACGGCGTAGGCTGCAGCCCCTGTGGCAGTGGGTTGCCATGGGCTACCGTATGTAGCCAGCAGCCAGCGTGAGCGGCCAGCAGCCGCAGTGAGCGGCCGTCCAGAAGCCGGCGACTGATCTGCCTCGCCAGAGAAGAGCGCAATGATGGTGCCAACTTGGGCCAGTGAAGCAACATCCTCCACAACTAGATTGAAGAACAAAACAACAGCAACTTATCTGTTCCCCTTCCCCCAATTCCCCAGCGCTGTTCCCATCCCCCCAATTCCCCAATAAAAAAATCTTAAAAAAAATAAAATAAAATAAAAATTTGGGACTTATATTACAATCCAGCTTATTTTATCCATTATAGAGTGTGGGTGTTAAACTCCCCAACCATGATTATGGAAGGTCCATTTCTCTCTCTAGCCCTTTCCATTTTTGCTTCGTATCGCTGAGGTGCTGTTATTAATATCTTCCTGATGACTCTCATCATTATGAAAAGCTTCTGTCCTGAAGTCTACCTCATTAATCTAGGCGTTTCAGCCTTTTTATGCTTATTGTTTGGATTGTACATCTTCCCCATCCATTTACTCTCTAATCTACTTGTGAATATGTATTTCGATTGTACTGTACAGGCAGTATAGAGTTGGGTCTTGATTTTTTCATCTGTTCTGACAATTCCTGCCTTTTAATTGGAGTGTTTCATCCATTTTATGTAATTATGGACATAGCTAGAGTTAGAGCTATTGTTGATTTGATATACTGCATTTTTGTTATTGTTATTGCTCTATTCCTCCCTTCTACCATTCTTCCGGATTATATGAGTATTTTAAAATGTTACATTTTAATTTATCTCTTGGCTTTTCAGCTGAGTTTTGGGTCTCACACTGCATCTTGACCCTATAGGTTCAGAAATACCTGTGATGGCAAAGTTTCTGGAGACTAACTGTCAGTGTTCGATTCCACTCTGCTACTCATTTGCTGGGTGATTCTGGGCAAGTCACTGAACCACCTCGTGCCTTGATGTTCCACATAGAAAATGGAGACAGTAACTTGCAGGGAAATGCGTTTGTGCTCGTGGTCCTAACCTAACTAACACACTGTGAGAGTCAGGGTGTGAGCTGCAGGGAAGCAGGCAACACAGAGATGCTCTACAGCTGAAGAACATCTGGGCTCTGACGCTGTTTCTCCTTGGAATGAAGCTGTGGCCTCACAGATACTGAGGCTGGTTTAAGATCAGGAGAAATGATTATCCATCAATATCTCCTTAAATGAAAGCGTATCAATGTTAGTTTAGATTCTTTCAAGATGGTAATATAAGACCAGAGTATAAAGTGTAGTGGCATGATCAAAAAAGAATTTTCCGTATTGGGTGAGACCCTACCCTCCATGGGCGGCATCACTGGTAGCTATGAGCCCATGCAGAACCCAAAGGAGCAAGAAAGTGTGCGCGGGCCGTCCTGAGCCCCTAGCTAATCCAACTGTATCTTCAGCTCATCAGCCACACAACCCAAGCCCACAACACTGTACTGCTGGCCTCTTCCCACCAATCCACAGCCCACCTGTCCACATTATACCGCCCATCTCAAAGGCTGGCTGTGAGGACTAAATGAGTTCAATTTCTATGAAGAATAAAGACAGGGAATGGCACATAATGACCATGCAACACGTTAACCAACAGACCTCTGAATTCCAGTCGAGATAAGTCAGAGATAATCAAAAAATCTGATTTAACACATTTGATGCCATTTCCACCAAAATGTTATAAGTAATGAAAAAGTCAAAAGAGGAGGCAGTAAAAAGGAATAAAAAGATGACATCAGGATAATTTACCAAGTCATTATGTTTTTAAATGAAGAGCGTTTTAAACGTTCTCCTCATTGTCATCAGACCAACACAAAAATTTCAACGTATGTACGTGATCTATGTAGTCACAACTACAAAGTTTGAAACAGACACCTTCTTTCAACGTCGGCAACAAAATGACCTAACTGCATTAGTAACAGCTGCCACTAATTGAGGGTTTTTTCCTATATCATCAGTGTTCTAAGTGCTTTACATGCATCAGCTGATTTGAAATGACTTAATAAGAAATATAGCCCCAGGTACATGTATATAGGTGACCAATACAAATATGATGATACTTCAAAAAATACTTTAACTGAATTAAAATAAAGTTTTTATAATTGAGAAGCTATTACTAAGTAAATGGTATAAGTGACTTTTGTTTTCTCACCATGATGTTGAATATACTTTAAAGTAAAAGGTAGATACAGCACCTGACTCTGGGGGTGGGACGTGGACGATGGTACTGCTGTAACTGCACTGGCTGACGCCGGAGCCCAGGCTCAGGGCTGCCGTGGGCAGGGTCCGCACGGCTCCTCCTTCGCCATTGGGGTACCGTCCATTAGTTGGCATTTCTGGTTTGGGCATGGCTGGACTCTGAGAAACAGCTGGTGATGCAAGAGAAACTGACAGTCAAAAGAAAAACTCCCAACAGGAAATTTACATTAAAGACTCAAACAGTTTACAGATGTTTATAACTGACCAATAAAAACCTACGGGCCATCAGGCTGGCCGGGTGGCTCAGATGGTTAGGGTGCGAGCTCTGACAAACAGGGCCGCCGGTTCGATTCCCACATGGGCCAGTGAGCTGCGCCTGGGCCGAGCTGTCACTGAGCTGCCAACAGGTGGCTGGATGGCTCAGCTGGTAAGGGCACGTGCTCTTAACAAGGTTGCCGGTTTGACTCCCGCATGGAATGGTGGGCTGTGCCCACCCGCAACTTGATTGAAAGCGGCGACTGGACTTGGAGCTGGGCTTGTGCACTCCACAACTAAGATTGAAGCACAACAACTTGACTTGGAGCTGATGGGTCCTGGAAAAACACAGTGGTCCCCTTCCCCAATTCCCCAATAAAATCTGTTTTAAAAACCCACAAAAATCCTATGGACCATAAAGAGGAATATGAAACTGGGATTATTTGTGATTACAAAGAAATAACTAAAGTCAGGAAATTAAAAAGAAACAGGAAAGGGTGGCTTTGTAATAATTCCTTTTATCTAACCATGAAGGGCATTCCTATTACCTTGCAATGCTTGGATATCATCTGCCTTGTGGTTCTGTCTGTCTTCTTCTGAGGACGAAGTTGTGTTTGTACAGGATATACATTTTCTTTTCAAAGCTGGAAAGTTGTAGCTCTTCAGGTATCTGCAACCACATAATTAGATCACGTGTTCTTACCTGTCCCCTAACTTTGCCGCTTCCCACCTTCTTGCTTGTCTCACACCACTTGTTTCGGACACATTGTACTTTTATTACGTATTGAAGAAATTTGACATGTAACAGTATAAGCTCCAGGTATACAGCATGTTAACCGTGATGTATACTATGATTGCTGCTGTAGCGATACTTATCACCTTCCATAATTATACACATTCTTGTGTGTATTCACTATACTGTGCATTAGCTCTCGTTAGACGGCTTATTTAACACTTGTTACAAGTCTGCACCCTTCAACACCTTGCTTATTCCCCCACCCCATCCCCTGGCAACCCTAATTTTACTGTTTACACGTTTCACTTTTTAGATTGCACATGTGAGTGATACCACACAGTACTGGACTTCCTCTGCCTTATCTTGCTGAGCATGCTGTGCTCAAGGCCCATCTATGTTGTTGCAAGCAAGAGGATGTCCTCCTTTCGCGTGGATGAGTAATATTTCACTGTGTGCATATACCACATCTTTTTATCCACTCATCCATTGATAGGCATGTGGGCTGTTTCCTTTTCTTGACTATAATGAACGATGCTATGATAAACATGCGAGTGCATATACAAGTATCTTGTCAAAATCCTATGTTCATTTCCTTTGGGTATATACCCAAGAGTGGAACTGCTGAGTTGCATGGTAGATTTTTAATTTTTTGAGAAATCTCCATATTGTTTTCCATAGTGGTTGGACCAATTTACATTTCCACCAACAATGTATAGGGGTCCCCTTTTCACCACCAGCACCTATTGTCTCTTCTTCTTGGTAACAGCCATTCTAGCAGGTGTGAGGTGATAGCTCAATATCGTGTTCTGATTTGCATTTCCATGATGATTAGCGATGCTGAGCATCATTTCATGTGTCTGTTGGCCCATTTGATGTCCTCTTTGGAAAAAAGTCTATTTAGTTCTTCTGGTCATTTTTAAATCAGGATGTTAAGTTTACTGAGTTCTTTATTTTGGCTATTAACCCCTTATCTGATATAGCATTTTCTCCCATTCTATAGGTTGTCTTTTAAATTTGTTGTTTCTTTTGGTGTGCAGAAGCTTTTGACTTTGATGTAGTTCTACTCGTTGATATTTGCTTTTGTTGTTTGTGCTTTTGGTGTCATATTTTAAAAAATCATCACCAAGAACAATATTGATGACCTTCTTTTCTACATTTTCTTCTTGGAGTTTTATGGTATCAGGTTTTATGTTTAAATCATTTATCCATTTTGAGTGAATTTTTCTGAAAGGTATTGGAATAGGGGTCCAATTTCATTGTTGTGCATGAGTTTCTCCAGTTCTCCTAGCACCATTTGTTAAAGAAACTAATGGGTATTCTTGGCTCCCTTGTCAAATATTAGCTGACTATATATTACTGGGATTTTTTGGTCAGTGTGACTATTTTTGTGCATGTATCATGTTTCTATTACCATGGCTTTGTAGTATAGTCTGAAATCCAGAAGTGTGGTGCTCCGGCTTTGTACTTTTTTTTCTCAGGATTGCTTTGGCTACTAGGGGTTTTTTCCGGTTCCACACAAAAAACTGGTTTCTGAAAAGAATGCCTTTGGTGTTTTAATGGGGACTGCACTGAATCTGTAGAAGGCTTTGGGTAGTATGGCCATTTTAACAATATTAATTCTTCTTCTCCATGAACACAGGATGTCTTTCCATTTACTTGTGTCTTTTTCAATTTCTTTCAGCAAAGTCTTGTAGTTTTCATTGTACATGTAGTTCTCATTGTACAGATCTTTCACTTCCTTGGTTCCATTTATTTCTAAGTATTTTATTGTTTTTGATGCCATTGTGAATGGGGTGGGTTTCTTTCTTTTTCAGGCTCTTCATCATGAGTGTAAAGGAATGCAATTGATTTCTATATGTTGATTTTTTTTTATCCTGCCACTTTACTGAAATTGTTGATTAATTCCAACAGTTTTTTGTTTTGTTTTTTACTGACTCTTTGGGGTTTCCTATATATAAGATCATATCATCAGCAAATAGCAACAATTCTGCTTTCCAATTTGGATGCCTTTTCTTTGTCTTGCCTAATTTCTCTGGCTAGGACTTCCAGCACTACATTGAATAGGAGTGGTGGGAGTGGGCATCCTTGTCCTGTTACTGATCTTAGAGAAAAAGCTTTCAATTTTTCTCCATTGAGTATAATGTTAGCAGTGGGTTTGTTGTATATGGACTTCATTACTATGTTGAGGTATGTTTGTTCTATATCCAATTTGTTAAGGGTTTTTATCACGAAATGATGTTGTATTTTGTCAAATGCTTTTTCTGCATCTATTGAGATGATTATGTAATTTTTATCTCTTATTTTAATGATGTGATGCATTATATTTATTGATTTGTGTATGTTGAACCATCCCTGCATTTCAGGGGTAAATCCTACTTGGTCATAGGATATAATTCTTTTAATGTGATCCTAAATTTGGTTTGCTAGTATTTTGTTGAGAATTTTTGCATTTATATTCATCAGAGATATTGGTCTAGTTTTGTTTTCTTCTGGTATCCTTTTATGGTTATCCATATCCTTATCCAAATAATGCTGAATGTTTCTCTTTCTGAAGTACTCATTATTCTTATGTTGGCTTTCTGAATGGTGTCTGATAGATCTCATAGGGCTGTTCCACTTTCTAAAAATCTTAGTTCTCTCTCTTCTTTAACCTTAGTCATTTCTAGATTCCTATCTTCTAGCTCACTAATTCTCTCTTCCATCTGACCTGTTGTATTTCCAATGCATTCTTTATCTCATTTATTGAGTTCTTCAGCTCTAGAATGTT